GGATTGAGATACATGCAACCAAGTGCGTGCAAAGAAAGCTGACATTCTTGGTATGACCGTCATTTTATTGTTATTAGGACTGGTGAAGAAGTTTTTTTTAATTTATTTGCTCGCGTAGGCGATCCTACCCCGTAGTCAAGTAAATGACAATGTTTCGTACTAGGGGTATTTTTTAAAATGAGCTGTGATAGTGAGAATGATGTGTACACGACATAGGTTTTCAAGTAGATTCTCAATTACAGACATAGAATTTCTTAATTGGTAAAAAAATCAACGACTTCTTTAACGTTTAATTTATTCGTGCTTGTTCCGTATACAAAAATTAATTAATAAATGCTCTACATAAAAGTGACGCCTCATACCTAACAGCTACACCTTAAGTATCCAATTAGTGAACCTCTGCATTTAAGCACTGTGTGCAAACTCCATTAAATCTTTGCCAACAAAGATGTATAAACCTTCCTCTTCAGAACACTTATAGAGGCCCCACACAAAACTCATTTCAAATGTAGCATCTCTGAATTTTTTTTGTAAAAAAGACTGAAAGTTCTGTCAAGGTGTAAAAAAAACTACGATTGCTCACTTGCAATCAATAACCAGAAAAAAATAACATTTTACAGTTTAGTCTTATGTCTGAGAAAGGAAACAAGATCAACTTCATGGAAAGTACTATGAGTCCAATTTATTCTCATGAAACGATTGAAGCACGTTTGTTGAAAAAATATTTTGGCAAATGCTGTCTTATTTATCGAAATTGCTACAGTGCTTTCAAAAAAAATCGAACTACGGTCCACTGCTGTGATCGTTTTTAATCATACTTAAATACCATCTGCACATCCAACACCTTAAATATTTGTGTTCCTGTATTACCTACCTAGCAAACTCAGGCTTAACCCAATGATTTCAGACGTATGGTTTATTTTGCTTCCTGCCCCGTACCACGTGCTACAAGTGTAGGCGTCGGATTTGAGTCCTCTTATTGCGCAACTGCACAGTTTCAATTTTATCACGAGATCACTTGAGAATCTCTATGTTCTCACTCTGCGTCTAGATGGATTTTAATCCAAGAGAACAAGTTGGTTCAGATTTGCTTCAAGCTTATCTAAATATGTGATCCGGTAACGCAAAACTGGGTAAAAGTAGAATTTCAGTGGTGCCAGTTAATGGGATCTTTGGTTTAATTGAATTGACATATTTAACTAAAACTTGGAATTGTCACCCAAACATTCACTAAAAATCAACGCAGTATAGTAATCTGATTTAAAATAATAGATTTTGGTGATTTATACAATAGAGGTTTGAAAAATTACGGTATTCACATCGGATGTTCATCAAAAGCACCTCACATTTACCTGTTTGTTGCTTTTAATAAAGTCCACCTCAGGGTAATTAAACAGTTAGACCAGGAAAATAAAATAATAGGCTAAACCAAACAAACACAAATGTCCACAAAGGCAATACAAGAAATAAAGGACGATCGGTGTGCAAAAAGAAGGCTTAGAGGGATAACTACAATATCAACGTTCAATATAAAACTGATTGGGACACACATTTAAAAGGCATGAAAAGTGTTCCAGTAATTCAGTCGTCCAAGGTGGATATAAGCTCCAAATATGAAGCTTTTCTCCTAGTAATATTCACCTACTTATTTACGTTACTATAAAACATGGTGTCACATCACAAGGAAAATAAATCAAGCCTACCTGATTTAAGACGAGGCCCAACATCGCCAACATTTTCAGTGGGCTTCACTGAAGTTAATCATTAAGGCTTTTGCAAAAGTCAACCGTTTAAAACCTTAACCTCTACATATGTTCTAATACTACGGTCCCACCTGAAGGCTGAGTTGCATTAAAGTGTACGGTGTGACCAAAGGCAAAGATATCACTAAACCAAGCCTTGGTTCCTTGTTGATCTTCTGTGTGTGAAGTTGCCAGTCGTGTGGCACTTCGCCCCTTTAAGTATGGGGGGCATGTGTACCCAGTGCTGCCGTCATCGCGATGTGGAGGAGACACGTTACCATTGACAACCCTTGAAGTAATTTTCTCCGGTACTACTTCTAGGTCAACTTTAGAGAAGTCGTAACTTATCTTTTATAAAAGTAGGAGCCCAGCCCTAGTTTAAGAGGGTCTTTTGAGTTTTGCGAGCAGCATGCAGCAGCAGCAGCATGGCTTGCCCGCTTCCTTGCTCCGTAAATGACTGTTCTGATCAGGTTATTCGATCAGATTTTTCAATTTTTGGCTGTAAAGTCCCGCAGTTACCATTTGACACGTTCCCAGAAGTTAGTAATAAATCATACCCTTTGTATTCCATCATATGCACAGGAAAACCTTCCTTAAGTGGGTGTCATGATTCGATGTCCATGCACTGAGTTGTCCAGGACCTACCCACGAATTTCACGTTTGAGTTTCTCGTAAAAAAACATGCTTTTCATCACCCACCACAATTTTCCACTGGTCATTTTTGTCGGGCAACAAGTGAGAGGCCTGTGTTTGTATGTTGACCTAGGTTATGATCAATCAACACATATGGAACCGAACTCCCAAAATTTCGAACTTTTCCCAATTAACGAAAACGCTTGGAAATAGCTGTTTGGATGATTCTTAATTGAGGTGCAAGCTCTCGTGTTTGCGTTGAGTCTTCATCCAGTAGAGCTGGCAATTAAACACCTTCAAACTGTCGAGACCGGTGTTCAGGGGCGCGGCTGGTCACTAAGATCGAAATCGCCACTTCTAAAACGTTTGCACCAATAATTACACGCACCATGAGGCAAAGCGTTGGCACCAAGAACACTACAAACTGATTTCCGTGCTTTAGAAGCATATTTTCCTTGCCGGAATTTATAAAAAATGCAGTTGCGAATTTGCTTTTTATGAATTTCTATCGTAGACTCTGATCTTCTGCGAGACTGTGACTAACGTAGATTTGTCGTCCGGTGTTATAAACGCCTTACTTTCGATCCAATCAAAAACACAAAAGACCGAGACAACATTTCTATTTTTAATATTATTTTAAACTCAAATAAAAATCGGTTCAAATTAGGTCATAAACCTAATAAAGTAAGTTTATAAAATTAATTACAATACGAACTTTTAGGAAGTTTGTTGCTGAACCTCCTTGCCCCATGTTTTGTTTAGATTACTTGTCACTGTGTGATAAAAAACATCCTAGACGCTAGCTACTTATCCTACTGTCCTACACAAAAGCATAGTTCTCGAGGTTCCTATCAGTACACAGCGAGTACTGGGTGCCACATCGACCTAGAATTCATTATTGCTCTGTGATCTACTTCATCAAAGAACCTATTGCAATTAATGTTGCGAGAAATCACAAGGGCTGGGTATTTTGTCGCCAAGTGATAGTATAGAAAGTGGTACGGGGTTCAAAGTGAATAAGGAAGCATCCAATGTGCTATCATAGAATATTGACGACCATCGACTAAATACTTATAAATTCAACGAGAGTTTGCCACACTCTAGTGTTCAGTATCAGCAAATAATCTTTAAGATTGCAGGAAGCTCCTTATTTCAGGTACAACCTGTGTTCAGCGACATACACCTCTAGGGTAAACAAGTACTTTGTACGGACGTACTCATTATGAGTCTTTTGAACTACCTTTTAACTGAGTTTGATGCGTCCACTGAACAATTTAAATAAAGTCGCCAAGATCTGTGGTGACTTAACATTCACTCCCTCCCCTGTGGATCTTGTGTTTTCCACACAAGCTAGTTGGGCATAAAATTTGCTACCCGGTACTGTCAATTAGAGTGGTTTTGGACCGCCCTATTTAGACATTCATGGCTAACAAGTTACTGTGGCACTGCCCAGCGCTCAGTCGGAGTTACAGAAACTGGTTTTTAATGCATGCTTTGCCACCTCTTATTGTCTGCCAACAGCTTACTTTTGCAACTGAATAATCCCTCCTCCGCAAACAACCTGCCCAGATTTTCTACTAAAGATTTGGGTCTTAGATGGCAATAGTTGGGCTCCTCTCAAACTCGCTACGGTAGCTCATTAACCTTGTCCAAATCTGCAGGTCGGATAGATGGAGACGTCATCTTTAATTTAGCTGTTTAACGCTTGAATCATAACACCTGACAGACTGCACGATGGCGTGGCTTGACATCCCAACATCTAAAAACAGAAAAAAATAGGGAGGAGGCGGAGTCACATATGTTTATCAGTACGACCTTCTACTACTGCACTGTGCATGGGTCAAGGTCCATTCATTGAAGGGATTCCTGATTGCCATTTCTGCATCTATCGGCATACAAGCTTTCGCGCAATTGACGTATGCCGTTAAAATTCTCCCAATACATTTTAGACGGCAGAAAGCGTTTTGACTTTTAAGATTATTTCTTAAGATATCACAGCAGCACATAACACGTTCCCCTAATTAGAATTGCTGCTTCTTAAATTTACTGGTATCTGCAAGCCCCCAGCACCTTAAGACGGATACCTGAATCGACCTTCTGTTGTAGCCACATGATATTAGTCTGCATAGCCATGTGAAAAGTCTAAATATATGACCAGAATATCAAAATCCACCTTTTTTTGGAATTCGGCCCGGAGTATGACTTACTCCGAGACATTAATATTATATGTTACAAGTTGACGTTCTGGAGTTTCGTGTGCTTTAATTAATCAAGCCTGGTGAAATTTAAAAAAAAGTTATAACGCTTCAAGAAAGAAGCGAAGCTTACGTGCATGAGTGCCGACTCACACTGCAATGCGCGTCCGTTACCTAATCCAAATCCAGGTTCCACTTATACAATAAGCAAACTATAACTCACGACATATGATGCAACCAGGAATTTACTACGAAACTAGAATTCAGTACCGATGAAGTAAAGCTGGCTAGTTTAGGGAGAAAGAACCGGTAGTCATGAGATGTAAATGAAAAAAATAAAGAAAAACGAGCCCGTTTAAGGATACATTTACGTTCAAAACCAACTTCTAAAAATGCAAAAGAGATGAACGAATAACAAGTCTACCAGTCCTCATTTAGGATACTCCTTGTACTCCATACCATCCGGCGGCTTCATCTCGACTTTACCTTTGCCGACATCCTCCCAATTGGTGCTCAGAACTGTGCCACCAGACTCAGTCTACAAGAGAAACATCAATGCTAAAACGAGTCACTGCTGCCTTCAAAATTTGGCTGCTGCACAAACGTCAGGGGAGCATGCTGACAAACAATGGTAGGAACCTTCGATATAGTTTTTACAAAATCAATAGATCCGAAGAACTATAACACGAAAAGCTGTCTTTGTTTTCACAATTGACTACAATAAATGCAGATCACAACATCTCTGGTTGATCTGAGACTATCGCCACCTTTGAGGCAGTTTCCATATCAAGTGAAATTTTATGGACAAAGGTAGATATTTTTGGAGGCGATGATTTTCAAGTATGCACATTTACTGTGGCAAGGTATGACACGAAGCACCCAGAGAAGGCTAGAGGCGACAAATTTCCAGACTCGGATAAATTGTTGTCCACAGGTAGCACTGTACAACCAATTTTATGGTAGAAATGATATCTCCCAAGGAATGGTGCTTTATATTTGGCGATCGTATTTTGTAAACAAGAATTGACCCTATTTATTATTTAGCCGAAAAAATAGAAAGGTTTACATCAGCTCAAAATCCTGCAGGTGGTCACACGTCATGTTACTACTCGGGCTAGATGACACTTGGGGACCTACAAACAAACATCAACAAGGAAATGATTTTGGGCGAAATCATTTCAACAAGGTCACCGAATTGGTGTGTACATTTGAGCAACAAAGCGTGCATGGTTTCGATGGCCATCAATGTCTAGGTTTTT